AAACACATATATATATATATATATATATATATATATAATCTTTCAAATAATTGTAGAGGATTGAAAATAACTTTTTTTTAGCCATGCTTTTATTCTGTTTCTCCATCTCTGTCTTATCAGTCTCAGACACTGAGTCTGTGAATGCAGTCTCTCTCTCTATTTGTCGGTTTTCTTTCAGTAAATCTGCAGCAGCACCTGAATGCATACGATTCTCCCTCAGTCCGGTGAATCTGTGTCTCTAAAAGAGACAAACAGAAATGAACTCTGCTTCAGTTTGACTCGCACACAGCGTCTGTCCTGCCGGCGGTGGGTGTGAGGGTTCAGACAGACACTTCCTGTCAGACTGTCTTCACTTCCTCTGTTAACAGGACCAGCCGTGTAGAAGAGAGATCTGAGCGAACAAACACCAGTCTGACCTGACACTGAGACTGAGGTCCTGTTCACATCTGGTATTGATCCAAATGCAAATGACATGTGTCAATGCAACACAACCACCTAATTGAAAAAGCCCTAAACAAATACATGCACAAGACTTCACAATATATGCATGACTGCATGATTCAAGAAGCAAAAATCTGAATTTTTTTCTTGTTTCTAGCTCGCTTCCTAGTCTAGTTGTCTAACAAACCTGGCATTGTATATTATAAATACTGTTTGCTCTGTGACAAAATGTTTTTGTCCCTCTTTGTAAGCCGCTTTTTATAAAAGCATCTGCTAAATGCATACATGTTAATTTAAATGACTGACAGGTGAGTAGGCAGGTCCAGGATGCAAGTCTACAAATCTGATCACATATGCATTATGATATGAGTGAGTCACAAAATGCTTTGGATCCCATTTACACCCTAAATTTAGCACTGAATAATTGCGACTGGATTGCATGAAACGGATATTAATTCCAGATGTAAACAAGTTCAGCTTCAAAGAGTCAAAACCTTGTGTTTCCTTTTCCTTTTGTGATATTTCTTTTTTGTTGCATGCATTGAAACCTTTTTGAATTGTATTTATTTATTTACTTAAAATTATTTTAACTTTTTTATTTTAATCTTAATGTTGAATTATTTTTGTGTGGAATCTGTTTCATGCATTTTTGTGCTTTTTTTTTTTTTAGCTTTGTTTCATGCATTTTTTTTTTTAGCTTTGTTTCATGCATTTTTTTTTTTTTGCTATAATGTAAATTTGCATTAAAAAGAGTGTATTTACAAATGATCTTCTGCTGAAATTCCAAATAAAAACATTTTAACACATGCATTGAAAAAAAAATTAAAAAGAGCAATGAAAATTTTTTTCCCCCGTGTTTGTTCAAGTAACACCTTAAAAGTAATACAGGTCAACAAATCTGGCTCAAATGCATATTTTCTGCATAAATGACCGATAATGCCAGTACGAACATTCACGACACGCTTCATTAGCTGCTGTTCACAACTGCCCTCATGCTACCGATCTCTGTCAGAAAGACCCCACAGAACGAGCATGAAACTTTCATATGTCCTGTCACTTCAGCAGACTGAGCTGGAGGGGAGACGAATGTTCACACATTAGTTATAGAGCGAGTTTCTTTTCCTGCTCTGCATTATTAAGGGATCAATCTATTAAAAGACACCATCAACTTAAGGTTCTTTAACTGGACTCTCTCAGCTGTCAGCTCGGCCTCTGAGGCGCAGCGCTGGGAGAGCGTTTGTTTAACTGTCGCTGTGCCGGTGTGTGTGTTTGCATCCATGTGTGGGTTTCCCACTTGTCAGTGTGATTAGTGAAAGTGGGTGCTAATGTGTGCGGATGGTCAGTCTTTTGTGGACTCAAATGAAAGCACGCTTGTATGAATGCCATTGCATTAGATGGACAAAAGTTTGGGGTTGGTAAGATTTTTGTTGTTTTTGAAAGAAGTCGCTTCTGCTTACCAAGACTGCATTTATTTGATCAAAAATAGAGTAAAAATATGAAATATTATTACAGTTTCAAACAACTGTTTTCTATGTGAATATATGTTAAACTGTTATTTATTTCTGTGATCAAAACTGAATTTTCAGCATCATTACGCCAGTCTTCAGTGTCATATGATTCTTCAGAAATCATTCTAATATGCTGTTTTGCTGCTCAAGAAACATTTCTGGTTATTATCAATGTTGTAAACAAATGTGTTGCCAAATATTTTTTATGGAAATTGTGACTCAAACTTTTGAATAGTACTGTATTTGCTTTTCAAGTGCAAGTTTGTATGGTTTGAAATAACAGAACAGCAGATCTAATGGAAATGCAGAAAAAAAGGTGTGAACTTGACTTCATATGTCCACTAAAAATCACCACAGGACCAATCAATTGAAAGACACTGATGAAAAAAAGTTAGTGAAAAGAATAGATCCTGCAGGATTTGAGCAGATAAAGACACTCAACATAATATTATGTTTCTAAAGCAATGACATTTAGACATCTTTATGTATGACTTAATTGACCAAATGAATATAATATAATAGAATATGCTTACCAATGTTAACCACTGGTTTACCAATTAAAACATTACACAAAAATAGCAACACAGAGAAAATATAATAGTAACAATAAAATTATTTTGCAAACAGTAGACTCAAAATGCAGTTATACTCTAATGTTCACCCATCAAGCTAAACAAACTTTTCTATTGTGTTTCAGTCATAATACTTCCAAAAGTTCTAAATATTCTAAATGTTCAAACAAGTCTCTTTCTCTCTCTGTTCAAAAATCAGACTTAATCTCACTCTATGATGAAAGCAACGAGAGCAGCGCTTACATTTCTGTCTCTCTCCTAATAAAGTCACAATTGTGGATCAGACAGAGCGAGTCACAGGGAATTCTGCTCATATTCACATTCAGGATAAGTCAGACGTCATCAGAACACATAATTAGCCTCTAATCAGCTCTAATTGAGTAAACCACTCAGACGACTGTATGTTATCAAACACTCCATCAACCAACATCACATATGCAATCTGAGAATGCTTTATTTAGCATAATTTCTAATTTAACACTAAGAAAATGAACCAAAATGCAGATGCATTTGTGAATGTCTCAGTATTTGATGTGAAATGGTTTGCTTTGCTTTACAGAGCTACACGAACAAAAGAGCATCTTAAACTTCATTTCACGCAGTTTCAAAATAATACAATTTAAAACAAAAAAATGCACTTTTACTTCAAGCGAAATGATTCGAACCATTTAGAATGGTTTGTATAATGTAAAAATGCTAAAAACAACCATTTGCACACCCTAAAAAAGCCACAAAAATAACGCAAACGTGGCGTTTTGTAGTTAAACTTCTGATTGCACGCTCTTATGTAACATTACAAGAGGCCAGGGGTCTTACCGTGAGTCTGGGTATTTGGTGAGGGTCGCCAGGCTGCTGGTGTACATGTGGCCACCCACGTCGATGTGAACGGGCGCGTTGGCTTTGGTGAGCTGAGCCGGCAGTGGAATCCCCTGCGTGGCCAGAGGAGAGACCGGAGACCGGGTCAGAGACAGGCGTGACATGCTTCTCCCTTCCTGGAAGCAGACAAATGGGAAAGCCATGGAGAAATGATACTGCTGATGCGCCTTCACAGTGCCTTAGCGTCTCTCCCACCTTGAGCGTCTGTGCGAGTCTTATCAGATCGTTTTCTCATCTGCCCCATCGCATATTTAGCTTACAAATTATTGCCACAGCTCTAATGAAGTATGTTTGCATCTTTTCACTGGTGCAGCCCGAGGGCAGGATACAAGGATGTTTATTAATGCTGCAGAGAGAGGGAGAGCGAGAGAGATATGCGAGGTGTTCGCCTCCGGGGATGGGAAAGAGAGAAAAAAAACCCGGCAAGTTTCTAATTAAAGGTCGTGTTATGTGTTAGACGTGATATCCTCCGACACTTCAGCAACCAATCTGAACATTTGGGAAACGAGGGCATTGTGCGCGTTCACGTGGAACACCAGGCATCACTTCCAACCACAAATCTGCTGTTAGTGAACTGAGAATCGCTCGACTTCCACCAACACTGGACTGCCATGCTGGAATCAGAAACACCTAAAGATGCATTTGACTTACAATTGTTAATGCACTTGCGCAAATGCAAATTTTTTTAATGCACATCAAACGGGAACCACATACTGTAATAATTTTTGAACCGTGAGTCTGGGTATTTGGTGAGGGTCGCCAGGCTGCTGGTGTACATGTGGCCACCCACGTCGATGTGAACGGGCGCGTTGGCTTTGGTGAGCTGAGCCGGCAGTGGAATCCCCTGCGTGGCCAGAGGAGAGACCGGAGACCGGGTCAGAGACAGGCGTGACATGCTTCTCCCTTCCTGGAAGCAGACAAACGGGAAAGCCATGGAGAAATGCTGCTGCTGATGCACCTTCACGGTGCCTTAGCGTCTCTCCCACCTTGAGCGTCTGTGCGAGTCTTATCAGATCGTTTTCTCATCTGCCCCATCGCATATTTAGCTTACAAATTATTGCCACAGCTCTAATGAAGTATGTTTGCATCTTTTCACTGGTGCAGCCCGAGGGCAGGATACAAGGATGTTTATTAACGCTGCAGAGAGAGGGAGAGCGAGAGAGATATGCGAGGTGTTCGCCTCCGGGGATGGGAAAGAGAGAAAAAAAACCCGGCAAGTTTCTAATTAAAGGTCGTGTTATGTGTTAGACGTGATATCCTCCGACACTTCAGCAACCAATCTGAACATTTGGGAAACGAGGGCACTGCTGTGCGCGTTCACGTGGAACGCCAGGCATCACTTCCAACCACGAATCTGCTGTTAGTGAACTGAGAATCGCTCGACTTCCACCAACACTGGACTGCCATGCTGGAATCAGAAACACCTAAAGATGCATTTGACTTACAATTGTTAATGCACTTGCGCAAATGCAAATTTTTTTAATGCACATCAAACGGGAACCACATACTGTACTAATTTTTGAGAAACGTTTTGTGTTTTCTGGAAAATAAATCTTAAACTTGTAGTTGTATTTAGGTTCCAAACCATCTTGGCCAGCTGGTCTACAAGCTTGAATTTCAATGCACAAATTGCAATTGTCAGTGCACGACCTTAAATTACTCTTTGGCTATTGTTTTACGGTCTCGTCTCTGTTCTAGCTCTTTTCAGAGCCATTTTGAAACTTTGGATTGTGGCATGATTAAAGCATCTGCTAAATGAATGCACGCCAATGTAGGCTTGTCTTGATGTGCATTTTACACTTCTAGTGCTCAGAATAAATCCACAGACATCCTGCTGTACTGAGGATATGCAAAAATGTCCAAACTTAAATCAAACAGCGTTCACACACAAACCCACTTTCCTCCTGAATTTCACTTGAAGACTGTCTACTGAAAAGACTCCGTCCAAACCCAAAGGCTTGTTTATACAAGTCAAAACTTTACCTCACAATGCCCGGATCACGCAGGGCAACATGGAAATACGACTTAACATATTCCAGCTGTCATAAGAAAGACTGCTTCATTGTGAACCTGGAGTTCAAAGGGATTTCAACGACAAGTTCTTCCATGCATTGGCTCATTTGCCTGCCTGTTATTTTAACCATACATGGTAAACAGAAGGCGGTTGTTACGGGCTCCGCTCAGCTCCAGCGCTGGAGGCCATGCGCTCGAGGCGGACGGCAGAATTTTCCAGGGTGTTGCCACCAAGCCCTCAGCACTAATGTTCATTTAATACACAAGCAAGATGATACATTACAGATTCCATTGAAAGAAAAAAAAGACTTAAGACGTTTTGGCATATGAAGCTATCCCTCATCTCCATATAGCTACGGGCGTTGTAACCAAAAGCCCAGATATTAATGCCGAGGGAACACAGTGGATCTGCCCCTTTTCTCTCTCTCTCTCTCTCTTTTGTTAATAGGAGGGACCATGTAGAAGAGTAAAGAAAAGTCAATGGTCAAGCTTAATAGTACAGAAATGCTCATGAACATGAGAAAAATGTCTCAAAAACTCATGTTTATGACCCCAAAATACTCCAGATTATAAATATAAACCAAAAATAACCATCAGAAAATGTCCTGCATTAGGTAGTCATACACAACCTTCTTGCAACGTTGATTCCCAAAACCTAATCAAATGGGAACCTACTGTGGTGATGTTTGGAAAACGTTCTGTGTTTGCTGGGAAATGCATCTTAAAACTTGACCTGCATTCAGGTAGGCAGTCTAAGCTGGTTCCAAAACCATCTTGACCAGCTGGTTACTAGCTTGCACTATCTTAGACCAGGTACCACGTTCAAAACAGACGTCAAACTTTGAGACGGTTTTTATCCAATCCTCGCTTTTCCTGTCAACCACTCAGAGCGAATATAAACACCTTTGTTTCGACAGTCAATGGCGGAAGCTTTAAAATGCCTTTTGGACGTTCGTGGAAACGTTCGTTACGCGTACAATGAAATCAACACACACTTTTCCTGCTTGCTTCCTCCGGTTTCAAGTCGGTGCCCTACGGGTTAAAACTTCAATTCAGATCATTTCACAACATGGCGTCTCACTCACAGCGATAAAGCTTCAGGTATGAGGCATATATCCTCCTAATAACACAGGTTCTCGGTGTCTAGAGGGTGTTTAATAAGGTTACAGAATCAGAAAGAAATCTTGAAATATCTCGGAGGACATGAAGCGTGAACGCGTTTGAGGACGCGTCACGTTTTCGCGGCGTCGCACTCATTCTCGACAAACCACAAAAGCACCATCACATGAATCATCTACTCTACATTGAGATGAGATTTAATTGGAAATGGTACCGTTTCAAACATCGTAGATGTCCGAATCGCGCTCCGAGTCCGGTTCGATCAATCGGCTCCCAGATGAAGGTTCGCGTCGCTCGCTCGCTCGCTCGCTCTCGGTCAAGTTTCTATCCGATAAACGATCCAGCCTAGCTATTCTCGTACTGTCCGGAGTGAAAAGCGCGTCAAACTGCATTAAAACATGTCAGAGGTGGATCGCGAAGGGTCTGGGCGACTATAGCGAGCTGCGCTGCTGCTGTCTGGACGCATTCAGAGCTCAAGCGCAAAAGCGCGCAGGACCGTCTTACCTTCTCCAGGAGACCAGAGCTCTCCTTCCCCCATGCCCCAATAGCAATACATGTTGCCACACTATATGGGGTAAGTTGTCACAATGGAACTTGCCATTATTTTATGTGTTTCAGCAAATTTTAAAGAGTAAAACAATTCTGAAACCCATTTTATGACAATTTTAAACATTAAATGTGTAATTTTACGACACATCAAATGTAAACAACAACAACAAACTATGCAGAAATATTATAGCAAACATATAGTCCTGGTGTTTCCTAATGTATTAATATTAAAATATCATTGTTATGCGGTGCTCATGGCAATAGAGTTTCAGAGGCATTTTCTTTTCTATCATCGAACACGCGTTGACCTTTTGTGACAACATGCCCCAATAGCAACACATGCTGTCACACTATATGGGGTAAGTTGTCACAAATGGAACTATGTTGTTATCATAGGAGTTTCAGCAAAATTTGAAGAGTAAAGCAATTATGAAACTCAAATGATTTTGACATATCAAATGTAAAAAAAGAAAACAATAGCAATATTAAAGCAAACAACTATCCCTAGTTTCCTAATGGCAATGAAACTGATAATCATCTCTTAACATATGAAATGCATAAAACAAGAATATTTTTCAAAACAACTGCTTAATTGATTACAGAAGAAGGAAAGCTGAGCGATCCTGCAGGTATCAGACACACACACAGAAGAAACTGGTCCTGAGGCCAGAGAGAGTTTTCCTCAGGACTTACAAACGCAGGAGGAATGCGGTTTGTAGTTTCTCCCTCATTAATACAACAGCCCTGCAGTGCGTTCAGTTACAGCCGTGTGCAGAAGGTGTTGTAAGTTTAAAGATTTAAACAGCTTACAAAGTTGCCCCGGGTGCTTTAGTTGCCATCCGTTAATTCCTGTAATTGATGGGTTTTGCTGTGCTGTCTGTGAGAGGAGAAGCTGAAGTGGGTCATGATTCGTTTGACAGTGATTTCCACAAAACATCCTTTAAGGTGATGATAATGAGGATGAAGAGTGTTTAACGGGCAAATAAAGCATGGTGTTGAGTATGAAAGTCTGCACTGAAAATCTGAGATGTTGCTGGAAATACAAAGGATTTTTTTGGAAAGATATTTAGAATATTATATATTAATATTATTATTATTATATATAATATTTAGAAAACATATGATGTAAAATAAAGAATAATTATTTAATACTGTAATGCTATCATTAATATTATTAATAGATAAATTAATATTTAAAAATAAATTTTACATTTAAATGTAAGATATATAAGTTAAGTTTAATAAGATTACTAATCAAATGTGAATAAATTTGTGCCATTTTACCTGATAAATACTGAAATCATAATACTTAAACACAATTTGTTTATTATTAATCAATGTTATTTAGTATCAATATTTTGAATTATGTGAATGTTTTTATGTTCCATTTTCTGTTCTAATTTTAACTAAAGGTTAAAGGTAAGTCATTTTGTTGTGTGATTTCTTAAAAAAATATGTCTATGTCATTTTTATTTCAGTTTTAGATTTATTTATAAAGCTTAAAATTTAACTAAATGAAAATGAAAAAATGTTGCCTTGGCAACTAGAGGAAAAATTTAATACATTTTTTTTTTTTTACTTTATTTTAGTTAATTTATTTTATTTTGAATAATATTTTTTTTTAATGATTTTAATTTTTGTTTTAGTTACCTATGATAACCCTGTTAACATCATCTTAGTTTAAAAATAAAATAACATTTTATGATGGATTTATTTACAAGAGTATAAAACCTATGCACAAGGCATTTAACCTCCTGAGACCCTGTGACCTCATATGAGGACATTATATTTTGGTGTATTTCTCTGAACCTATACATGTCACAGTTTTAAATCTGGATGTCCTGTACAGAGCACATTCAGGACTTACCTTAAAAAAAGTTAGTATCATTTTTTATTTCAGTGTACTTGTTCCTAATATTAAAGTTGTAAGTGTTGAAAGATCTTTTTAAAACAAATTTTAGATCAGAATTATTATTGATTTTTACATAAGCGTTA